CACTGGGGCGGAGCCCTTTTAAGAATTTCGAAACGGGAAATAGTTTACTTCCTATTCGCATACCTACAGAATTTACACACCAAATTTCATAACGATCGGTGAAGTCGTTCCGGAGGAGTTTGCAGACAAACACTGTGACACGAGAATTTTATATATTAGATGGAAGATTGATAGACTAGTTTAGAATCTTAGCGTCGGCTGCTAGACTTTTTAAAAATTAAAACTTAATTTCTAAAAAACTAAAACCCTAAACTAAAATTATGGCTTCGACATTCCCTAGTTCTCAAAATTATCTTTCTTTCAACACAAAAATCATGAAAATCCGTCGAGTGGTTGATTCAGAATCGTGAAATAAAACACCCCCGCCGCAGCAAACCTGCCGTCTAAGCGAACTTCCATTTGGCTGAATTGATTTTCAATCGATCTATTTAAATAACATTAGGTTTAACGAGTAGGTACCTAGGTTTGCTGCTACAAGGAAACTAATAAAGTGTGTATTTTAAGTAAAATAATTATTGCTTAGTAGAAAATGAATACATTTGCCAAGTTTGATCAAAATATATCCATAAACAAGCAAACTACGACATTTTACAATATTCTTCATAAGAATACTGTAACATGGGAATTTTAAATTTACAATTTTTTTAGTTTTCTCCGTAACCAATAACCGTACAAAAACACTTTGATATAATGAATTGTTTGTTTTTTTAAGCTCTTTAAGAAGGTTTAGAGAAAAATCGGGAAATTTTGTGTTTTGAGGGTCAAAAGTGAGAAAAACCAATTTTTCCCCATAAAACCCTGTTCCCATGGTCCGATCATGCTGGATCGCGAACTCATTCAAGTTTATCCCGCCTCACACCTTCAAACCAAATTTCATCAAAATCGGATAAAAATTACTCAAGTTATCGTGTTCACGGACATATATATATATATATATATATATATATATATATATATATATATATATATATATACATATATATATATATATATATATATATATATATATATATATACATATATAAAAATTTGAACGAATGGTGTTTTTGGCCTCTGGGGACATCAAAATGAAAAAGTAAATCGGTCCCGGGCCTAAGTCTTACCATGAGACCTACGGTAATAGCTACTTCCCTATAGGGAAATTCGTTAAAAACACTGCTTCGATTTAATATTATAGACTAGCAGAGTACCCGTCCTTCGTACGGGGTTGACATATAAGTATAAAATGCTTATTGCAGTTATACTCAAGCTTTGTGTTTTCAATGAAGGAGGGCACAGTTTGATAAATTCTATAGTATTACACATATACCATAGCCATAATGTTTTACCACTTCACCTAAACAAAACAACAGTGAAAAATAAATTATCAAAATTTGCAAAATATCACAAATTATTCATGAAATTAAAAACATTAACATAACTGTAAGCAATCCTAATTTGACAGTCAGTTCTCATTGCGTATCACAGTTTTTTGTTGCTGCTTAGTTCAAATTAGCTGTTTTCATACATGAAAAAATATGTATATAGTGCTGCAGCCTGTTGGTAAATCTTATAACTTTTTAATGCTTTTGTATGTCATAGAACCAACTTTTTAAGTTGAAACAGCTGACTAAATTCTTTAATTCCCTTTAAATATGAATACTCATAAGGTTAACATGGGTAACTACAGAGCCACTGGGGCGGAGCCCGAAAGGATTTTTGAGATAAGAATATGCCTATATATGTTAATCAGGAATGTGAGCTATCATCATGCCAAATTTCAGGCCAATCGGTCCAGTAGTTTATGCGTGATTGAACTTCAAACAAACAAACAAACAAACACACAAACTTTCACATTTATAATATTAGTAAGATATTCATAAGGTTAACATGGGGAACTACAGAGCCACTGGGGCGGAGTCCGAAAGGATTTTTGAGATAAGAATATGCCTATATGTTAATTGGGAATGTGAGCTATCATCTTGCCAAATTTCAGCCCAATTCATCCATTAGTTAATGCGTGATTAAACTTCAAACAAACAAACACACAAACTTTCACATTTATAATAAGATGACATTAAACTCTTGCATTGCATTGTTTACGTCTTTGTAGATGGAATCATGGATTGAACCCATGGTGGATACTTGATGATGGACTTCTGTAATTTCTCTTCCTCTCGTCAACCCTCCTGTATGTTTGATGCTTCTGCTTCTCATGTCTCATCAGTCAGTTCCTGTTCGATTTATTAGGTTACTGGAAAGAAACTGGAAACTACCCAATGCTTTTTTTTCGCCCAATATCTATTCTTTCTTCAATAGATAAAATAATGGAAAGGTACATTGCACACCATTTAAATAAATACTTAGCAGAAAATGATGTTATAAATAAAAGTCAGTATGGTTTCCAGAAAAACAAAAGTACAGAGTTATTGCTAAAAGATTTTTCTAACAATATTAACAAAGAATTAGGGCAGGGCAATCAAGTAATAGTAACTTTTATAGACTTTACTAAAGCTTTTGATACACTGCAGTTTGATAAAATATTGACAGCACTCAAGGACATAGGAATTTCTGGCAGGTTTTTAGAATGGTTTAGAGACTATCTGAAAAACAGAAAAATTATTGTAAAAGTGCATAGTACATTTAGTTAAGAGGCAGAACTTTTTTCTGGGGTACCTCAAGGAAGTATTTTGGGCCCAATCTTATATATAATATATGCAAATACACTCCCAAAATATATAAAAGAAGCCACGGTTTTTATGTACGCTGATTGTCGTATCAAACAAAAATATAATAGAGGCAGAAAAAAATATGCAGAATGCTGTTAACAACCTTTTAGAATGGTGTCATGATTATGGATTGGTAATAAATGACAAAAAGTCCAAGGTCATGCATGTGCATTCACCTGCATTTAAATGTTCTAATGTAAGCATTACTTACCATAATTTTGATTGTTTACATAATCATACTTACTCACTTATCCCAAAAAGTTGTCAATGTAAGAGTTTAGAGAATGTGCATGATTTTAAATATTTAGGGGTTCATGTTGACCACAATTTTAAATGGGATATACATGTTAATTATGTTTGTAAAAAAATCAGATCATGTGTTTGCAAAATTTTTTATTTAAAAAGTGTCCTGCCATTTAATGTGCTATTGGTGATTTACCAGTCATTGTGTGAATCAATATTAAGATATGGTGTGAGAGCATGGGGCAATGCTTCAAAGACTTCTCTGAGGAAAATTGAGCAACTGCAGGAGCAAGCGCTCAAATGTATTGTTCCAGTGCACATTAAGCAGTTACCAATTATAAAGATTTTTCATTTTGTTAGACTGCTACCTGTTAGTAAGTTATATATTTTTTTGATATCCACTGATCATTTATTTGATGACAGCTTGAAAATAGTCAATAATCACCCATATGATGTTAGAAGGAATTATTATTTTGTACCAAAGCACAGGAATAAGTATGGAAGTAGAACACTTGAAGTTTTTGTTCCCAAATGTTTTAATAACCTCACAAATCATATGGTTTTTGCAAATAGTTATAGCATGTTTAAACATTATTTAAAGGAACTTGTTTGGAATGATTTGTTACAATTTTAATTAATTACAATTATGCATTTAATTTATTTACATTTTTAGTTGAAGTTAAAGTAATATATTATTGTTATTTATTCCAATAGTTTATTTGTTATTGTTACTGTTGAATTTTTACAGATATTTGTGTCTTTGTTGTCTTTTTTTGTTATTAATTACTCAAGAGACAATTAAGAACTCATAAAACTGCATGCTACTGATTCAAACTGACAAAACTGTATGGTAAATAAGAAACAATATTTTTAGTGCAGACAAACCATTTGTGGTTTTTGCACTTTTGTATCCTATGTATTGACAATTATTGTGTAAATAAATTTCTTGATTGATTGATGATTGATTGATTGACTACGAAGAACAGCATGTACACCTTTTTGGAACTGTTTGTACACAATTGCCAATTGGGTGAGACTTCTCGAGCTGTTGCATCTTTTGGAAGTGTATAATATAACACAGCTTATACACAAAGACAGTGTATATATTATACACTGTCTTTGTGTATAAGCTGTGCCCTGCTAGTGCTGCTGCAAAATATGGTGGCATGTCGTCTAGAGCTAACTGTTAACTAATGTAGATTCCAGTCCCCGATTAGTTCAGCCTGTAGGAAATTCTTCAAAATGTCAATATGATTTTAACACATAATTCAGTCATGCGGTAGCCTACCTCCTCAGGAGGATGACCCGGTAGAAGTCGGAGGAAAATCATAAGCGTATGGATAGGTCAATATGCACATTAAATTAAAGGTCTTAATTAGTAGAACAATGCCACAACCACAAATTTGAGCTCAAAAGAACAACTGATAAAAAAATGGCAGCTGTCAAGATATCTCTGAACGGCTGCCATTTTCGACTCGGATATCCGTTTGAGTTAAAATTTGAGGCAAAGAATTCTACTAATTAAGGCCTTTAAGATGATGGGTCACAACATGGGTATCCACCCTTAAATCCCCTATCCACCCTTAAAGGGGGAGGGGGGGGGGGAAATTTTGATTTCTTGCAAAAAGCTAGAAAAGTCATCATATAATGATTGTTGAAGTTCCAAAATTTTATCGTATGCCGTTTAATTTATTTTTGGGTTTGTTAAGACTTTTTCAACACCCTGTATATATATATATATATATATATAACTCAAAATCCAAAATTTCCGACAACCGACAAGAGGTCCCTTTTCGTTTTCCACATCACATTATTAATATAATTTATTAAATTTGAAAATGCATGCCTCTACTGAGTCAAAACCCTGAAACTGCAGAGTTCTATTTATTGCAACATAGTATAGATAGCATATTGTATTGACAACAATAAAATAAAGTGGCCCGGACAAGGAGACAGGTATCAGGGGGTATCAGGTATATTTAGATCTACTACAATCTCTATTGGCACCCCTGCTCTGTTCAACAATAGCCGATGGCGGTAACCAAGTAACCAACCGGTCAAGCCAGTTCTCTCGTTCTCTCTCGTCTCGCGTTCTCGTTCTCGGTCTCGGCCTCGCGCGTTCTTTTTCTTACTCCTTTGCCTTTCTCAGTTCTCTCTCTCTCTCACACTAACTTCAAAGTTCGGGTTACTTTACTTACTTAGTTAGTGTTCTGATATTTTTTGCTTTGTGTATTGTGATTTTGGATTTTGTGGTTAGTGATCGGATATATCATATCCTTCAACAGGTAATCTTCACATTTTTATCTAAGATGGGTAATTAAATTAATCAACTAGTGTCATTAAACTAAGTTGTTTGGCGAGATAACCTGTTGGAATGTTGTTGGTTGTGCTAGCCTTTCCCTCAGCTTGAACTAACTTCGAAGCTTCTCGATTTAGCTAGTTTGTAATTTTGTATACCGTACATTCTTTATTCGAAACGTTTTTTCTTGTTTTGTGTTCAAACATAGGATGCAAAACATCATAGGGCATAACTTAATTCATAATAATTCATTATCTATAGGCTTAGTTCTTAATGGCTAATGACTGGTCTGAGTTGTAAAACTACAATAATTAACTTAGGGAATTACAAGTGATTGTAGGGCCTGTAAGTTAGGTAGGCTAACTTCTAGGCCTAACAACTTATAATAACCCAAAACATAAGTTTTAATTGTATGTAAGTTAACTTAGTAGGGTTAGGCTAACTTTTTAAATTACCTAATGAAAATTACTGGTAATCAATTGGGGAATTGAGAAAATCATTGAATACTTTGCAATCTAAACTCTATGAGACCAATCAAGAGTAGGAGAATAATGGTGGTGAAAATAATCAGGTTTTGTTGGCCTACTAAGTTATAAATAATTTGCAAATTCAAGTTGGATTAAGTTAGTAAGTTAAGTTACTTAATTAATCATTATGAAGTTATATCTCCCTTCATCTTGCTTGTCTTTTCAATCCTCTATTTTTATCTAGGATTTCTTTAAACCGGCTTTAACAATAATTAGGCTATAACCATCTTCGTAGATTTCATGATACAGTATAACTTAGGCTAACTTAACTTAGGCTTGCAATTCATTAGTTTATTTAAGAAATTTACAGGATTACAGGTATGTTATTTTTGGAGAATTTCGACATAGTTAGCCTAAAACGTAATTTAGTCCCTCCCAGTGGCGTAGCGACCGTGGAGCGAGTGGAGTATCTAGTAAACGATAATTTTTGTCAAACACGTGGGTTTTGCCATAAAGAATTAAATAGTGAGAGTTGCCATGACAACTTGGTAGTTGAAGCCAGTGTTGCCAATGTCCGGGGAATTCCTAGGGATCTGGAGAGTCGGAGTTTGCTCCGTTATTTTTCCATGTTTTAAACATTTCCTGGGATTTAAAAAAAAATGTCTTTTCCTTTAAAACTATGGGATTTAAGAGTTTTGCACTATAGGTACCTTCTCATATTGAAAAGTTGGTATGATACGTTAGTATCATTTTGTCGGCAAGGGTGCTAGTGCTGGTAGCAGACTGCGAGTCGATGACGGCAGCAAATCGACAAACACTGAGCATGCTACAGCGGCACATTGTGGAACCTTCCTTGTTCAGACTGTATTTCATTCTTTTGTCTATGGTTTTGCACAAATACAGATGGCCGGCTAAAAAACTTTTCGAGGAGAAATAATTTTTTAAAACCTGTATGATTTGTTATGGATTGACCCTAATATATTTACAGTATGTAAAAGGTCATTATGACCTTCCCTAATAATGTCATAATAAGCAGAGATTGCTTAAAAAATAAGGAAAAGGTTTGCTAAGAGCTGTTAAGATTTAAACCTCAGAAAGCGTTCAAAATACAATATGTTGTTATGCTGTACCTACCTACTTATGTAGATTAGCCTACACAATTTTAATTGGCATGTAAAACGCTATTTTGGATCATTATGGTGTTTTGAGCTAGTATTATTTAGTAATATTTTGAATTATTGCTAAATCTAAAGAAACGGATCAATAAATGTGTTGTGAAAATGTAGCCTGTAAGTCTAATAATGCATCGTCTTTTTCAGAAGTGCCAATAGACTATTCCTGACATAAGGAAAAGAATCTTAAAATATATGATATAATAGGTGATATAATTGAACAAAAAAGACAAGCAGATAAAAGGGAAAATCCCACTACTATATTATATCTCCAACACATCGGTAACAAGATTTGAGCAAAAGATGTCTGGAAATTGAATATAAGCCCTAAGCTATGTAAGTAATTAGTCCTATTGTACAGTAAAAAAATTGTTGAACAAGGGAAATATTGAAATAGACATACAAAGCAAACTGACTAGTTTTGTCTTGTAGTTACTAGGTTCTGATTAGTTCAACCAAAATAAATGTTGAAAACAAAAAAAATGATAAATACCACTAAACAGCTTCCATACAAATGTCCATTTTGTAGAATAATCCTCTCATCTCAGTGGACACTGAGGAATCATATATTAGAGCATACGGGGGAGAGTCCCTTTAAATGTTTGATTTGTGAAAAATCATTTATCCAACTAAATCATGTTATTAGTCATTTGTTGACACACTCTGTAGAAAGCCCTTATAAGTGCACTACATGTGGAAAATCTTTCACAACCAAAGGTAGTATGAATAAACATATACTGGTTCATACTGGAGAGCAACCTTATAAGTGTACTACATGCGGAAAATCTTTCACATACAAAAGTAATATGAAGAAACATACATTTGTTCATACTGGAGAGCAACCTTATAAGTGCAGTACATGTGGAAAATCTTTCAAGACCAAAGGTAATATGAAGAAACATACATTGCTTCATACTGGAGAGCGACCTTATAAGTGCAGTACATGTGGAAAATCTTTCACAAACAAAAACAGTATGAAGAAACATACATTGCTTCATACTAGAGAGCAACCTTATAAGTGCAGTACATGTGGAAAATCTTTCAAATGCAAATACACATGGAAGGAACATGCATTGTTTCATACTGAATATCAACCTTACAAGTGCAGTACATGCGGAAAATCTTTCACAAACAAAAACAGTATGAAGAAACATACATTTGTTCATACTGAAGAGCAACCTTATAAGTGCAGTACATGTGGAAAATATTTCCCAACCAAAGATAGTATGAAGACACATACATTTGTTCATACTGGAGAGCGACCTTACAAGTGCACTACATGCGGAAAGTCTTTTGCAACCAAAAGTGATATGAAGAAACATACATTTGTTCATACTGGAGAGCAACCTTTTAAGTGCAGTACATGTGGAAAATATTTCAAGTGCAAATACATATTGAAGGAACATGCATTGTTTCATACTGAATATCAACCTCACAAGTGCAGTACATGCGGAAAATCTTTCACAAGCAAAGGTAATATGACGAAACATTTATTGATTCATACTAGAGAGCAACCTTATAAGTGTACTACATGTGGAAAATCTTTTACATACAAAAGTAATATGAAAAAACATACATTAATTGTTCACACTGGAGAGCGACCTTATAAGTGCAGTACATGTGGAAAATCTTTTTCAACCAGTGGCAATATGACGGAACATACATTTGTTCATACTGGAGAACGACCTTTTAAGTGTAGTACATGTGGAAAATCTTTTGCAACCAAAGGTATTATGAAGAGACATACATTGGTTCATACTGGAGATCGACCTTTTAGGTGTAGTACATGTGGAAAATCTTTTGCAACCAAAAGTATTATAAAGAGACATACATTGGTTCATACTGGAGATCTACCTTTTAAGTGTAGTACATGTGGAAAATCTTTTGCAACCAAAAGTATTATGAAGAGACATACATTGGTTCATACTGGAGATTGATCTTAGTTTAGTACTAAATCTCACACAGAAAACAAATGGTGATACATACAATGATTAAAAACACAGAGTGACCTTATTTGTGCATTATCCGTGGAAAATCCTTCACAACAAAATGCAAGATGAAGAGACATACATTGGTTTATACTGGAGAAGGACTTTATAGGTACAGTACTTGTGTAAAATCTATCACATATATCTTAAAAAGAAAAATGTTGTAACATATTTGGATCATTAGCAAGAGTAACCTCATTAGTGTATTACTTGTAATAAATACTTAACTTTGTGATGTTAATTTGTTAATTAATATTATAAGATTTTTTAAGTTATAAAATGAGTACTCTGCTTTCATCTCTGGTTGCCAATACAGGTGGCCTAAATGTGGTGGAGCAGTGTAAAGTAAATATAAGTTACACCCATTTGTTCAGAAGTCTCCATTAACTTAACTCAATGGTAGGAGATAACTATAAAGTTTATTTCATATAATTAATTCAACAGGGTGTACTAAACATCATAGGGTTAGTCTATGCTTGGACCTAGTTCACATCTAACTATAGTTTAATTGTTTGAGTTCCTAATAAATGTATTATTACCTTTATAGTGTTAGCAAAACGGGAGTGCCGATGGAGACCTGTGGGGGTGCGTGTGTTTGAAGGGACTTGACCTGGTCTCCATCGGCACTCCCGTTTAGCTAACACTGTAAATTTGTTTAGATAAAAAGTTTTTTTTTAATATTGTGCTTAACTTTTTACAATAGATTAATAATTGCAGATGTCTATTTATTTTAGCTTCCTTGTGAATTCTTTTTTTTTGCTGAGATTTTTATTTCTTGAGTAATCCAGTTTTCGTTTACATTACAGTAATTTTTATATTTGAAATTTGTAATTTTGTAATAGCTTCACTAAATTTATTTTACATGAAAACTTGATTATAATTAACCTCTGCACTGGCAGCTGGCTTGTTGGAATGACATCTCAAACTTAAATTAAAAGTGTTTACTGCTCTTAAATATTTGAAATTATTATCAATACATGTCCTAGAAACATCAGGAGTTAACCCAAAACTCCTAGAAAACTTAATTATTAGGCTATGTATGAATGAATGAATGAAAATTGAGGCGAACAATTAGAACCAAATGGTCTTTCTTACAGTTAACCCTTAAACCGAAATATAAACTAAACAATGAACTTTTACAATTATGTTTTTAAATTCTAAATACAATGACAAATACAAATCCCCAAAAATCTATATATTAATAGGCAATCATGTTTCGCTAAACCCTTTTTTCTCAGCTTGTGTGCATCGTAGGGGAAATTTGCGCATACTGTTGGAATAAAAAATGTGTACAAAGTTTTAGTAAAAAATATAATATATTTAGTATATAATAGATTTTAGTAGTTTGGAAGGTAGACTATTAAATAAATTAATAATTGTACACCAAGGTTAATGTTTAGACATCACAATATAAGGAAAAAGTCTTAGCCTACGCCTGATTTAGTAGTTTGTGTTTGGTAAGCCTCTCAAACATATATAATTTTTATTAGATCTGGAGTTACAGTATTTCAAAAATTCAAAAGCTCTCACGTTTTGTTTCTAATTCGTGGAGTATAAAGAAGATATGGAAGAAGTCATCGGCCTTATTAATTTTTTAAAATAATTATTAAAAATTCTCATGTGTTTGTAACGGTGGAGTAGAAATGGCCAATTAAATCATTTTGTAAGTTTCTCTTAATTTCTCTTAAATTTTTTAAGTATTTGTTCTGCTCAGTAGATTTTTCTCTCATTGAAAATTATAAAAAAGCATGTTGATATAAAAAATCAAGACATATGTCCTTGGTGAACCGTGAGAGCCTCTTGACTATGGTGACCTGTTCTTCCCTTTAATCTCCCATCAATAGGCCAAGGGATCTCATACGCAGACCTTGTAGGGCTGGGCACATAAATATACCTTCACAGCTTTCACAAGGTCTCTGGCTGGGGCAAGCCGTAGCGAGATTTCCCTGAAAGATCTCAGCTCCTGAACTTGCTTGACCAGCCAATCCTTTGTGGCTGTGTCAGCACAGCCTCCACCTTTCTTCCTGGAGGCTTCATTAGAGTCAGCTTTGGGGGTACCACCCTTGCTCTGCTTTTTCCCAGCATCCTAGTTCCCGGAGGAACTGGCTTTGCAGGCAGCAGAGTTAGGGTGCTTGGCAGCCCACACCAGCCTCCTCTCACTTCTGGATAGCACCTTTTCGCCTTTGGCTAAAGCATCCGCTATCCTCCATCTTTGCAACTCTCCCCTGGAAAGTCGTTTTTCGTTCCTTTCCGGTTTCTGCGAGCTTGTCGTCATTGTCAGATTTCAGTAGACCTTCCTCCTCCATTTGGGTCAGACTGTCTACATTGTTCTCCTGAATACCGGGTATTTAAGTCCACCTCCCCAGTGACCCGATTAGAGAGGTAAGGGGTGTGTACGACTGGGTTACCCCTGGTTCCCAGAAGGCTCCGTTAAGACACTGAATATTAGGCCCCCAGTGCCACAAGACTCTTGGCACGGATCGCATTACACCTTAGTCTAGGGCCCCCCTCACTTGGTTCTGTAGGTGGACCAACACCCAGTGGCAGAAGGTAGCTCTCCGCAGCTAACAAGTGAGAGTTGGGGTTTAGGTTGTGGCCAATCTGCCGAACCAACCCCGCATGCGAGGTTTGGCCGGAACGGCGCGAAATTTTCTCCCACTCACTAAACCCCCATACCTTCCAGACATATGTCGTGTAAGTAGAGTTGATGTATTGCCAAGAAACTATAATACTATTATAATATGAACAAAAGTAACCTAAATTTGAACTGTATAAAGTACTTACTGCATAAAGTGCACAGGTAACTGCACAAAGTGTCCGTTACTGTTTCAGTATAAACTAATAACAAAGTAAGCTTTAAAAGCTGCTATATTTTTTGTTGGACAGTTTCTATTCCAATCATGTCCTGATGAAAAAAATATATAAAGTTTTCATCATGAGTCATAGGTATAAATAATTTATAGCAATTACAAAGGGCATCAGTGTTCAAAATACAATACGATATCATACCGTAGGCCTACTTTTTTATATTAGCCTACAAAGTTTAAGTGGCGTGTAAAACCTTGATTTTAGGAGACATTATGATATTCATGAACTAGTACATATATTTTTTTACTAGGCATGCGGCCTCAGGTCCGCCAATTGAGCGGAGTAAGCAAGCTTTGATATAAACAAATAACTTTAATTTGTTTTCATGATTCAAATTGAATACATGATGTCGTCACCATAGCAACAATCCAATTGAATTCTTGCGGTTGGTTGGAAGAGTTGAAGGAAATATGATTCCAGTCAGCTGTTTCTATTAGGTCATTGATATTTACTTGTATATATGAGTAATAGTAAAACTGTGTGTTTGTAAAGATAGCATAAAGATTAGTATTATTTTGTCAATATCCTAATGTTTGTTTAGCTCCCATTTATGTAGGCTAATAGGCCTATAGGCTTCCTTCTCATTTTCTCCAACTAAAACATTTAGAGAATTGATGAATTAAACAAGAATATATTTATTCCTCATGCTAAATTACAGCATGATTAAGTAAAATACTGTATATGCATACTAAACAACTTACTTGCTTATTGCTGGGGCGCTACAAATCGCAGTCGATTCTTCGCCTCGTAGATCAGCCTCTTCCACGCTTCTCTGTCCGCTGCCATCTCCACTGTCCCTCCACACTGACTCACATCTCTCTTAACTTGGTCATACCACCTCATTTTTGGTCTACCCAGTGGACGCTTTCCAGCTGGTACAGCAGAATATACTTCCTTCAGAAATCAGAAATCAGAAACGTTTTATTGCCCTTCAACATTTACAACAAATGCAATAGACAAAAGTCAAGAAAATTCAGCTATTACATAAACAGCCTATTTTTAGGCAAAACAAAACAAGCCTAAAAACAAGTCAAAATAGGCTATACTAATACATATGCTTACAAATAAAAAACAATGTGGAAATGTGAGGACATTAAAAGTTAACTTCGTCAACCTTAAAATATTCTTCTAAGTCATAAAAAGGATTTAAAAGTAACCAATCCTGAGCTCTTTTTTTAAATGACTTAAGGTCCAATTCTTTGGCATTGATGCTAAGCTTATTAAATAATCTTAATGAAATAACATGGTAACTATTTTTACATTTACTTAACCTACAATAAGGCACGTCTAATAGGAACTGATTACGTGTGTTGTGTGAATGGATATTAAACCTATAAACATGGGAACTAGTATTTTTCTTAACCCTAAGTAAACACATAAATATGTACAGATTAATCACAGTCAATATTCTACTTCTTATGAACAATGGCTTGCAATGCTCTTCAATTGGAGCTTTGTTTATTATTCTAACTACCTTCTTTTGGAGTATTAACACTTCACTTATGTGACTACTGTTTCCCCAAAGAATCAAGCCGTAGCTAATTATGGATTGGAAAAATGCAAAGTAGGCTACCCTTATGTAGGTTTCAGGTACAACACCCATAAGATTTCTAAGCAAACAGATTACTCTGGACAATCTTGCACAAACCAAATCTATCTGAGGAGACCAGCTTAAACATTTATCAATTTTTATTCCTAAAACTGTAATTACATTTTCATTGTTTACATCTTGTGACTCTACTGGAATGTTTTTAAGACTACACAATAGATTTTGAGTTTTATTCTTATTAAGACAAAGGCTATTAGCATTAAACCACATATAAGCTGAATCAGTTGTGAGCTCAGTTACTGACATAAGATCATAAAAATTGGGATGAACACTCAAAAAATTGGTGTCGTCCGCAAACATGATGGTAGAGGATCTTTTAATATTGGCTGGTAGGTCATTGATGACTGTGATAAAAAGAAGGGGGCCTATAATCGAGCCTTGTGGCACACCTGAGCTAACTTTCAAGCAGCTTGACATCTTGCCTCCTGCATCAACGAATTGAGTTCTCTCTCTCAGGTATGAATCAAAAAACTTAAGCTGTATACCGCGGATGCCATAGTACTCCAGCTTAGTGATGAGTATGTTGTGATCAATACAGTCAAATGCTTTACTCAGATCACAAGCTGTGATCTGAGCAAAGCTCGACTCCTCAAAAGCTCTCAAAATCTTAGAAACAAGGTGGTCCAGGGCATCCACGGTAGACAAACTTTTACGAAAACCAAATTGAAAATTTGAAAAAATTTTGTTTGTGTCAAAAAATGAACATACCTGAGGTTTGATGACAGCTTCAATGATCTTGCCAATTATAGGGACCAGAGAAATAGGACGATAATTTTTTATCTGTGATTTTTCCCCTTTTTTGAAAATTGGGATGACTCGAGAAATTTTTTGGGAGGTTGGGAAAACACCTTCTTTCAGACATAGGTTGATACAAAAGACAAGGGGCATTACTATTTCAAAGATAACGTGTTTAACAATATTGCTTGTGAGACCATACACATCTTTGCTTTTTGAGGATTTCATTTTTGACACTGCACTGAGCACATCATCACATGACACTTCATTCCACTCAAGTTGGGTGCTGGGCCTCTTCACTTGCTGCAGGAAGTGATCCGCAGGCAGGGGACTCACAGGAATGCTGGCTCGAACATCGTTTACGGAGTCGATGAAGAATCTATTGAAGTCCTCGGCAGAATGGTTGTTGCTGACCTCCTTCTTCTCTCCAGAAACTCGCCTTACTATCGTCCACGCTGCTTGGCATTTGTTTGCTGATCGCTCAATGAAGTCAGCGTTTGCGGCTAATTTTGCTCTGTTCGCAACGTTTTTATAGAGGTTTCTAAGTTCTTTGTAGGCACTTCAGTCTTGTTCCTTCTTCCCTTCGCAATACATGACCTAGCCAACCTAATCTTTTTGCCTTTATCAAAGCTATTATATCAGGGTCCTGGTATAACGCTCGTAGCTCTCTGTTTTTTCTAATCCGCTATTCTCCTTCATCGTTTACTGGGCCGAATATTTTTCTTAGGACCTTGTTTTCAAAAACAATCAAGCGTCCTTCATTTTTCTTGGATAGGACCCAGGTCTCGCTTCCATACAATAACCCTGGTTGAATAATGGTTTTATATATTCTTATTTTTGTATCAGATGATAGGAGTTTTGATGACAGGAGCTTCATACATGCACCTAAACATTTATTGGCATTTGCTAATTTACTTAATATTTCTGTATCTTCTATGTTAAAGCTATTTACAGTAACTCCTAAGTAGCCTATTTAAAGCTTTCTACTGGTTCAATTACATAGTTGGCTATATTGAAATTGGTGCCTCTATTGATGGGATGTCGTCCAAACTTTATTATTTTGGTTTTTTCCTCATTTAGTTCCAAACCCACTTTTTTACATTCTTGAATAAACTTGTCGGCTAGAAATCACAAATCCTCCGACTTTTCAGCCAATATCACCACATCATCTGCAAAGGCCATGACATTTAAGTCTACACCCAATTTTAAGCCTCTCTTTAGATTTTTTACTTGTTGTAGAGCTTCTTCAATCGCTATGTTGAAAAGAGTGGGGGAAATCCCGTCCCCTTGTCTCACTTCTGTATTTATACTAAAGCTCTCCGACATTTCTCCATCTACCTTTACTTTCGCTTTTGATTCGTCAACACATAACCTTGTCAATTTTATTAACTTTTTAGGTATGTCATGTTTTTAATTTTCCTATATAAGGTCTTTCGATCAATGCTGTCGTAAGCTTTCTTGAAGTCAATAAATATCCCATAAAAACTTTTATTATATTCATAATTTTTCATAATAATAATTCATAATAATAAACAACTGTACAACAAAATTATTAAAATCAAATATAAAAGACGTTTTTACATTAGGCTATGGCAATTTAATTTGAGAACCTGCACTGTGTTGATGTAAAGCCTATTTATTGGGTTGTACTAAATTTTTAACCTGACATAAAAATGCCAACATGCTGTTCTGTTAGCTGAAATAATTCATCTTATAGTATTACGGGAAAAATCGCAATATTATATCACGCTTATTTTATAACTGGACTCCCGTACAAGCCAAGCAGTCTAGGCTCTACTTTTTGTAATTATTACCTTATTATCTTCATTTTTTACCCAAAAGGGATTGATGGCGTCAGACTTTCAAATAAAAAATGTATACATTTAAACAAACAGACATAAATTACTGAACATATACAGGGTTATTACAAATGATGTTCATGATTTCATACATACATAAAATATAGTTAAATTTGTTATACAAAGAAATAAAATGGTTACAACTTTTGAAAAACTCAAAAAGTTTCGACACAGATACACAGAACTGTAAATGCTCGATACGGGAACCCCTTCTGATGACAGATGACAATAAAATAGTCAAGCTCTTGCTAGATTTTGAAAAGTGTGTCTAGGTCTATTGTTTCGATAGCATTGGTAATCCGTTGCTGGATCTCAAGTATGCTATCTGATAATAGTGGTGTGTACGCCTTATCTTTGATGTGTCCCCACAAGAAAAAAATCAGGGGGTGTCCGGAGATCTTGTAGGAAAGTTCAGGGGTGTGTCATTATTCGGACCACCGAGCTCGTTCCATATCTCAGGCAGCACATTGTTAAGTTCAGCCCTACCACAAGTAACATTCAAATGCAGCCATTTCTCTTAAATATCAACTGTCACTTGCCAATATAGTGGTTACTAGGAGGATAATCGTTAAACCTGGTTCTAAAGTGTCGTTGCACACTAATAACAGATTGGTTAATGTAATATTCCAACTGGCAAAAAGCTTTCCTGCCTTCAAATTCAGCCATTACACAACACTTACAACAATTGACTTGACAAACAGCTGATATGCACCTAAACCAATGTAAATGAAAATTTATGAGTTTTTCTTTCCAATGGTACCAACTAAAATAGTCTTGAAACAAATTAACCCATTAATATTTATAATCAAAATCAGGAACATCATTTGTAATAACCCTGTATTTACAACATTTGCATGTGTAATTGTAACTGTGTCTGTATATCTGCAAAGAGAAAATTATTTCCAAACTTATAAGTTATAAATTGGACAACACAAGTTAACAAGTTTAGTTAAATATTTAATTATAGTAAATAGCTATAACTGAACTTCTGTATAGGCCTAGCAGTCTAGGCATTAGGCCTACGCATCGTAATCATAACTGTACAAGCCTAACCAATTATTTACAAGCCTTAGTTAAAGTGGACTTCTATAAAATCCTAGGTAATTATTTATTTATTGTAGTCGCAACTGGACTTAAGTGTGCAAGCCCAGCAAATCACTGTATTTATTTAGGATAGGCTACCGTTAATAATATTTGAAAATACTGAATTCCTGCTTCGGAAATACAGTTTCTATAGTTTTCAATTTGAATACTCTCTTTTACTGTTTATAAACTAAGTACCTGGAGACCGAGCAATCATTCCCCCGCTCTGCGATGCCAGCCTTTACTACTTCCTTCACCATTTCCCACGTCATTGTTTCCTTCCCTTCTCATAGCATTTAAGTATTCCAGATACATTAATCTAACTGCCACAAACGGTTCCCACACTATGCGATGCTAAACTTTACTACTTCCTACGTCGTGGACATGTTGTCATCTCTTTCCATTGCATCTTAGTATTTTAAATACATTAATCTAATTGCCAACAACATTTCCCACACTCCGCACTGCTAGCATTTACTAATTCTTTATCCATTTCCCATGTCTTGGACATCTTTCCATCCCATCTCATAGCATTTCAGTATTTCAACTTCAGATACATAAATCAAACTGTTACAATTGGTTTCCAGTTCCCAGACTCCACAGTGCTCGCCTTTACTACTTCCTTCACCCCTTCCTACGTCGCAAACCTGTTTCCCTCCCTTCCCATTGCATTTTAAGATTGTAGATACCTTGATCTAATCGTCGTTAACAGTTCCCACACTCCGGACTACTCGCCTTTACTACTTCCTTCACCACTTCCTATTCCGCGGACCTGTTTCCCTCCCTTCCCATGGCATTTTAGAATTGTAGATACCTTAGTCTAATCGTCATAAACAGTTCCCACACTCCGGACTACTCCCCTTTACTACTTCCTTCACCACTTCTTTCGTCACGGACCATGTTTCCCTCCCTTCCCATTGCATTTTAGGATTGTGGATAACTTAATCTAATCGTCATAAACAGTTCCCACACTCCGGACCGCTCACCTTTACTGCTTCCTTCACGACTTCCTACGTCGCGGACCTGTTTCCCTCCCTTCCCATAGCATTTTAGGAAAACAGATACCTTAATCTATTCGTCATTAATAGTTCCCACACTCCGGACCGCTCACCTTTACTGCTTCCTTCACCACTTCCTACGCCGCGGACCTGTTTCCCTCCCTTCCCATAGAATTTTAAAATAACAGATACCTTAATCTAATCGTCATTAATAGTTCCCACACTCCGGACTACTTGCCTTTACTACTTCCTTCACCACTTCCTACGCCGCGGACCTGTTTTCCTCCCTTCCCATAGCATTTTAGGATTGTAGATACCTTAATCTAATCGTCATAAACAGTTCCCACACTCCGGACTACTCACCTTTACTACTTCCTTCACCATTTCCTACGTCGCGGACCTGTTTCCCTCCCTTCCCATAGCATTTTAGGATTGTAGATACCTTAATCTAATCGTCTTAAACAGTTCCCACACTCCGGACCGCTCACCTTTACTGCTTCCTTCACGACTTCCTACGTCGCGGACCTGTTTCCCTCCCTTCCCATAGCATTTTAAGATTGTAGATACCTTAATCTAATCGTCATAAACAGTTCCCACACTCCGGACTACTCGCCTTTACTACTTCCTTCACCACTTCCTACGCCGCGGACCTGTTTCCCTCCCTTCCCATAGCATTTTAGGATAACAGGTACCTTAATCTAATCGTCATAAACAGTTACCACACTCCGGACTAATATTTACCACAAAACTAATAGCAATAAAAACAATTAAAAGAAATAATCTGCTTGGAATAATTCAGTAAGGCCGCCAGAAATTATGCGAATCGGTGTATTGTTAATCAACGCTTAATGGTATTCATCGGACTCCTTTTCTTTTGTACTGTCTTTTGTAAATAGGCCATATGTGCATGTGAAAGCTGAGGTGCCCGTGGGTACAGAATGTCGAGTCGCATACGCTACGATTCTTTGTTTACATCTACGTTGTTATCTCGTAACCATCATGTCAACTCATAAGACTCATGTTAAACATTGCAAATTTTATGTCAGTCTTAAATTGTACAGGTATCATCAAATTGAAATTTGTTTGTTTCGAAACATCAAAAATATTTGTCCAAGTACCCCTGGTAAGTTTGGATTTAATATGTTCAGCCGTTATTCAGTTAATTGATTACATAGTTTGCATAAGGTCCGATCTCAAAGAGCTTCGCTCGCTCCGCTCAATTATTGCCAAAAATAAATTAACAGGTAAACTTTTTAAATGTGTAATGAAAATGTGTGTATATGTAGGATAATTAAGCATTTTTTTTTTCAGAAGTGGCTATCCAAGACATATTACAAAGAAGCTTAAAACATATTATTTGATATAATAAGTAACATAATACAACAAACAAGACAAGAAGATAAAAGGAAAATGTCACTTTTATATTACACAATATCTTCAACTAAAGACAGAATATCTTCTCGGTTGTTTTGTTTTGGTAACAAGATTTGAAGAGCAAGACCTGTCTGGAAATTTAATGAAGGTCCTATGATAGGGACCTAACTATTGGACATTTAACTAATCCTTCAAACAAGGAAAATGTTTAAATAGACATACAAAGCATACTGTCTTGTTGAGTTTATTAGGTAATGAGATAAGTTACTCAAATTTTTCATACTTTGCGGTGGTCAGAAATCTGTCAAAACCGACTGTCCACCTCCGCGTGGTGGTCAATTTTGGCCCTGACTGCTGAGAGTTTGTATTTGAAAGAATAAATTGTTATAAATGTACATAATTTAGAACTGTACGAAACCACATTAACTAATAAAATAAAGTTAACTAGTACTAAAGAGAATAATTAAGTTTCATTTGAATTTACCTATCATTAACCTAACCTAACCAAACCTACCCTGTCACATGAATAAAGTAGCTATGAAGAAATAAAAAAGTGTAACATAACTTTTGGGGTACAAGGTATATATAGAATATTTTGTATTAAACATATCATATCTCATCCGAGAGCACAACAAATACAAGTTAAAGATTGATCGGTTGTTGGGTAGCGTAGGGATTAGATGTAGCCATTGCGAGGAGTGGAGTGGACTACTGTATACACTAAAAGTGACTACCACGCGGAGTTGGACTGGACCCTTCGGAGGCCATAAAACTTTTCCTCATCTTAAATCTGACAACCGCGCGGAGATGGGCTATCCCCACTTGTTAAATCAAATGTTATTTAAATCTATATACAGGGTGATTGGTATTCAGTGTAAGAAAAATATTTTGGTGTAAGTACAAAGTAAATGAAGTGTGATGGTGGCTTCCCAAAGAATTATTTAAGTTTTTCAAAAAACACCATGTTTTAAACTACAGCAAATCCTCAATTACCTGTAAAAGGATTTGAGATAGTGTCATTTTGGTGTTCTACATTAAATTTTGAATAAGAATAATAGAAAACGATGGAGGATCAGTATTAAAAAATCAGTTGTAAACAGATTCAAAGATAAAACTTAGAGTGTTGGATAAAAAATTAAAACTCATTGGTCTATTGCATTTTTCTGCACCCTGTATACAAGAAGGTGATCAAATTATCTTTTTGGTCGAGTAATATAGTAGATAAATATATGCCTATGCTTGATTAAAATTTAAGAAAATTAAAATAAAGGGCTTAGCAAGGAATTTGAAGTCTTGCAACAGTTTGACTACTGAATATTTCTTCAATATTTCTCTGATATTATATTTATTTTAACACTGCGGAGCTGCATGGGTCTTCTAGTTTAATGTAATTTGTTTATAGCCTACTGACAGTTAATTTGCTTTAAAATCTGAACAGAAGGAGGTAAATGAGTAAAGTCATATATTGAAGGGAATTAGATGTTCTACAACCCTATGCCCAGCATTTATTTTAGGGTGCATAGTTAAAGAGGTAACTTGTCAAAAAGAACAAAAAACATGAGGAGAAAATGTATTTGTATAAATTTACAAACTTTTGGTAGTAAATAACGCAAAAACTATAGGTACAAGATATTAAAAAATAGTAAATTACAAACTAGCTAATTTCGCTTGGCCGCATGGTTTCCGAGATATCAGCAAAAAGCCGAAAAATGGTACCTTCAAGCCCCCCCCCCCACAGCACTAGGGATAGAGGCGGGGACTTTTGGTATGTTTACCTCCTAACTATACTAAACAAAGTTACTAAGTCAGAAATTGTCTTTCAAACATTTCTATACCTTTTCGTTGCCTGGACTACTATTGAAATGACCTAATTGAAATTTAACCAAAAAGTGGATTGAGAAAAACATTGAATACACTGTGCAATCTATTTTATAAGACCATTCGAGAGAATCATATGAGAAGAGTTCTGGTGAATGTTACAAACGTTCGTCACGTTTTGTTATAAAGAATCAAATTCAAGTAGGATTAACTTAATATTATAAAGTTATCTCTCCCTTCATATCTCGCTTGACTTTCCAGTCTTCTCTTTTAAATTTAGGATTTCTTGAGACTTAAGGGCTTTAATAATATTTATTATCTACTCAGAATCTTTCAAATAAAGAATAGTTTGAATTTAAAGCAGTTTAGCAAAGCAACGATAATTTGGCATTCTTCTCAGCAGGACATAAATTATATCAATAATGTCCTGTTGTAATAACCTTCATTGTTTATAAATACCAGATTTCAAAGTGATACCATCAGATGCACAGTTCACGCGAAATCCAATGTTTCATAACAGATGCTAGACTATAAATTACAATGTCATGTTATAGTTCGGCCGCTTAGAAAACGACCTGCGCGCTAATGCTAAACCAATGCTGGAGGAGGTCGCTTTCTAAGCGGCCGAACTATAGCAGATAAGTTAGTATAAACAAACTGGTTACACTACTGGACAAGTAGCCAGTCATATTTCTCTACATCTCATGTATTGTTATATTGTGGTTTTTTGTGCGAAATAAACTTCATTATTCATTAGATGTTTAGATATTGGCCTGGAATAGTCTTCATTGTTTTATTTCAACAATTTTCAAGTTTAATATATATTTGGTAAATTTTGACCTTTTAACCTAGTCCTACTTTTATTTTATAAATTCACCAGTTGTAAACACATGGGATTAAGGAAAATTAACCACATGATTGTAAAGTATGGCCTTCAATTACTTAATTTGATTAGGGAAGCAGGGGTAGTTAGTCAAGAACAAATTAATAATAAAAAAATTCTTGACGCACGATTTAGTAGTTGGTGTTTGGTAAGCGTCTCAAATATACTGTATTTATTGGTTGGGAGTTACCGTATTTAAAAAGTTAACTCTCACGTTCTTTTTCTAATTCTTGGATTATAAAGAAGATATGGAAGAAATCGTCAGCCATAGTTTTAAATAATTATAAACAATTCTCTTATTAGGTAAGCTAAGTGCTTGTAACGGTGGGATAGTGATGGCCAATGAACTAATTTTGTAAGTTATTTTCTTTTAATTGTTTCAAGTATTTGTTCTGCTCAGTAGGTTTTTCTCTCATTGAAAATTATAAAGCATGTTGATTTACAAAATCAAGGTCAGGATAGTAGGGCTGATGTACCTGTTGCCAAGAAACATTAGAATACCCTACTGTTTTGATGTGAGCAAAAGTGACCCTTAATTTCAACTGTATAAGGTACTAACTGCACAAAGTGCACAAGGTAACTGCACAAAGTGTCCATTGTTGATTCAGTATAAACTAATAAAAACGTAAGCTTTAAAAGCTGCTATATTTATTTTAGACATTTTCTATTCCAATCATGTTCTGATAACAAAAAATATATAAAATTTTCATTCATAGGTATAAATAATTGGTATCAATTACAGAGGGAGTCAGTGATCAAAATAAAATAAGGTATCATACCCTAGGCCTACTTTTTCATATTAGCCTACAAAGTTTAAGTGACATACAAGCTTGATTTTAGGAGACATTATAATATGTATGAGCTAGTACATATATATATATATTTTTAATTATTGCCAAAAATAAATTAACAGGTAAACTATTTAAATGTGCAATGAAAATGGGTGTACATGTATAATAAAGCATGGTCTTTTTTCAGAAGTGGCAATAGACTATCCAAGACATATTACAAAGAAGCTTAAAACATATTATTTGATATAATAAGTAACAAGGCAAGAAGATAAAAGGAAAATGTCACTTTTATATTACACAATATCTCCAATTTATCGGTAACAAGATTTGAAGAGCAAGAGTTGTCTGGAAATGTAATGAACGTCCTATGATGGGGCCTAACATTGGACATTTAACAAATCCTTCAAACCAGGAAAATATTTAAATAGACATACAAAGCATACTGTCTTGTTGAGTTTATTAGGTAATGAGATAAGTTACTCAAATTTTTCATACTAAACTGTAAAAAATGTTTAAAAGAACTAGAAGTTTTCCTCATAAATGTCCATTATGTAAAAAAGTCTTATCATATCTGTGTGGTATGAGAAATCATATATTAGCGCATACGGGTGAGCGTCCATTTAAATGTTTGATTTGTGAGAAAACCTTTATCAAACTAAGTGGTGTAAAGACCCATTTGTTGAGACACTCTGGGGAGAGCCCTTATAAGTGCACTACATGCGGGAAGTCTTTCACAGAAAAAAACTGTTTGAAGAAACATATGATTATTCATACTGAAAAGAAACCTTTTAAATGCACTACATGTTTAAAATCCTTTAGAAGCAAAGGTGAAATGAAGAAACATATTTTAATTCATACTGGAGAGCGTCCTTATAAGTGCACCACATGTGAAAAATCCTTTAGACAGAAAGGTGATATGAAGAAGCATACAATAATTCACACTGGAAAGCGTCCTTATAAGTGCAGTACATGCAAAAAATCCTTCGCAGAAAAAAACAAAATGAGGGAACACACATATGTACATATTGGTGAAAGTCCTCATAAGTGTACTACATGCCAGAAGTCTTTTACAACCAAAGGTAGTTTGACGAAACATGAATTTTTTCATACTGTAGAGCGTCCTCATAAGTGCACTATATGCTGGAAATCTTTTACGACCAAAAAAAGTATGAAGAATCATATATTAGATCATACTACAGGGCCACCTTATAAGTGCAGTACATGTGGAAAGTCCTTCAGAACCAAAGGTAATATGAAGGTACATACATTACTTCATACTGGAGAGCAAGCTTATAAGTGTGCTACATGTGGGAAATCCTTTACAACCAAAAGTAGTTTGTTGTCACACACATTAGTTCATTCTGAAGAGAAAGCTTATAAGTGCGCTACATGTGGGAAATCCTTCAAATGGAAAAGCAGTTTGAGGATACATATTTTAGTTCATACTGGTGAGCGTCCTTAAAAGTGCCCTAGATGTGGGAAATCCTTCAAAAGCGATATGAAGAAGCATACATTGGTTTATATGGTACAGCGTCCTTATAAGTTCAGTGCATGCGGAAAATCCTTCACAGAAAGAAGCAGTTTGAGGAGACATACATTGGTTTATTTTCAAGAGTGACCTCATGAGTAGATTATATCAGGAAAATCCTTAACAGCCAAAAGCAATATGAAGAGTTACATTGGTTCATACTGGTGATGGATCTTAGTCTTCCACTATTATAGGATACATAAGTAGACATCCCACTATTTGGATCAGCTGTCTCCAATCTATATATTAATACGCAAGCAGTTTTCTTTTCACCGTCATAACTCGATAACAGCTTGATATATTTTAACGTTTGTGGTGTCAAATTAAAGGATGTGCAAATACGTCTCAGAACGTAAAGAAAGGGCATCACTTAAGTACAGTTAAGATCTAAAGTTTCAGCGTGGCTATCATTTGACATTAGATTAAACATATGGACAAAGTTTGAAATAGTGTTAAGGTTAATCACAGACTGCAGGACTTATTACTTCCAGAGCAAAACCGGTTTTTTTTTACATCTGTTAACTAAGTCTGGTTCATAAATAAAGAGTTTCCTAGCAAAACTTGACAACAAATCGTTTGTAATAGTTGAATTGATTTAACTTAAATCCTATTTTACTGAATTATCATGTAGTTTTGGTTAAAGTTTGGTGTGCTGAAGTGAATGTTTAAAAGTGATTATTTACAGTGCAGATACCCCTTACATTACCATATTATCATGTAATTTTCAATGTGTATCAAAATTTTATTTGTAGTGTTTTCTGTTGTTTGGTTGACTTCCATATTTTATTTCAAACTAGCTGGCCCGACAGACGTCGTCCTGTCCTAATGTGGTTTTATGTCAAATGCTCGTTCATTTTCAAGATGAGCTCGTTCGCGTGGCTCAATCACGTCCTTGTTGGAGCTCGTTCGCTGCGCTCACTTGCCTTCAGGTTAGCTCGTTCGCTACACTAACTCGCCTCCAGGTTGAAGTTAGTTCGCTACGCTCACTCACCTTTTGGTTTCAAATTAGCTGTTGTCATAAATTTAAAAAAAGAATAGTGCTGTACCCTGTTAGTAAACCTATTAACTTTTTAATGCTATTGAACATCACAGAATCAAATTGTTTAGTTGAACCAGCTGTTAAGATTATTTAATCTATATATTTAATACACAGTTGTAACACTGTTTTCTCAGTAAATACTAGACCGATCTACAAGATTTATGTCTCAAATTAAAGGGGATAGTGTGTAGATTTGCCGAACTTCCTTAGAATTTACGTTTTTTCTAAGGGCTACGACCTACAGCCCTTTAAAGTTCGATTCGATACAATTCTTATTGAAGAATATAACACACAATTTATAAATTATTTGTCAGCTGTTTAATATTTGTCAGAAATTTGTTATTATTTTTATAACCTCACTTTCAGTATGCAATTATTAAACTTGGAGTTTCTGTTTATAAACACACGATTTTGATCAAGGAAAGTGTATTTGTTAACTTATTTTTGAAATGTTTTAGTTTTCCTGCAAAGTGATCTGAAGGAAAGTGGTAATTGAGTTTAAGTTTGAGTATGGAATGTGAAATAATACCCATAGTAGGGAACGGAAACTTATTGTTTTGATCAATTTTAATTTATTCTCTACGGCCACCACAATAATCATGGGGAAATCCGCTTGCAAGTTGTACATATAACTGCTAATGAGTGGGAAACATACAAACATTTTATAGTAGGTGACGAATCTTACTCAAGATCAGTGTTAGACGTTCAGTGGTACCAAACTTTACCTTCTCGAGATGGCGAGTACGCTGGGATACGTGGAACAAATACATCAGTGATTTTTTTTCAAGTACAGAACAAAAAAAAAACATGTAGAGAACCATCGAACTAAAAAGGTAAAGAACAGTGATGGTGTTAAATGTGAGTTTATGGAAAATCTTATCAACAGCGACTATAAAAAAGTATTAAGGGTCAAAAGAGACAAAAACTATTTTAGTAAAATAAAAAATACCTTTAATTTGATGTGCATATTGACCTATGATTCCATTTAAGATTTTCTTCCGACTCCTTTGTGGGCCATCCCCCTGAAGAATTATTGGATCACTGAATATTTGTTAAAATAGAGTTCTATGCCCTGTAACTTTGTACCAAGTACAGTATTTTAGCTTTATCTGCATTATTTTTAAAAATATTTAACCGTTCCAGGACTTTTCTACCACACGCTATAATACAAATTGCGTATTAAATAAGTATAGAATCTGCATTTGAAATGGCCAGTTCTAAGTCTCACTTGAATCAACATCTTTCTGGTTGTGGTAGTCTACATGGTTTTAAATCCACGACTCCTTTTCATCAAATTGGACCGTTAATACCCTCTAACATTGAACAAAGTATGCCCAACTTTATCTATCTATCTATCTATACTATTATAAATAATTTATTTTGTAAAAAAATACAACCGACTTCAAACGCTCTAAAAAGAATGAAATAATTTAAATAAAGTAAACTTTTGTATCAGGCAAGCTCACGTATTTTAAGTCGGCACGGCTCTATGATGATTTTTGATACAAAATTGAAAGAGGGTGTCCATATTGCAGGTGACTATCTATAACTAAAGGTGTTAATCTGCCTTTCTTTTTCATAGTTATGCGTTAAGTGTTATTTTATAACCGTAATCAGAGATCGGCATTATAGTGGTGTTAACGAGTATCTTTTAAAAGATTATAACGAATTTAAATGTTTCTTCTTAATGTTTATGTTTGAGAAAATATTTCCTTTAATATATAAAAAAAACAGTTCAGTATGTCTTTTATATATTTATGTTATCCGACTACAATTTATTGATTTTCAAAATACACACACAATATTTAATTTCAATCATATTTGCAGTTTGAGCCGCGCCGACTTGAAATACGTGAGCTTGCCTAATACAAAAGTTTACTTTATTGAAATTATTTCATTCTTTTTAGAGCGTTTGAAGTCGGTTGTATTTTTTTACAAAATAAATTATTTCATGATTTTTAGTGACTGTATAATTTTTTATGTATTAATTACTTGAGGTTTTTTGATAAGCAAAACTGTTTGAAACAATCAAAAGTTCCACAGAACAATCATTATTTTAAAACTGCTTGAGTCACCTGTTCAGGTTACGTAATCAATGGGTGTGAAAATAAATATTTTTAGATATTCCTTAAGAAAGATAGAGTTGTCCATTACATTAGGCCCAATGAAAAACTAATTGTCTTTTCTAGATACATTGAAATGTCAGACATCATCGTTTCCTGCAATCGGTGTACTTCTACATTATAAAAAGAAAAACAGTAACGTCCCAAGCCTTTTGGAACAATATGAAAGTTATTCCTCAGCCACCAGCACTAAAAAATCTCTCAAAAGTGGAAAATTGGTCGTTAACACGTATAGTACCTTTGGAAAATATTATATGAAAGATTGGTTTAGCTAAAAGTGGTGTAAGTCATGTTGGGGGTAGTGATGTAAAACACCCAGGTATTTAAAACTCGGGGTAAATACCCTGGGTATTTACCCGGGTAAATACCCAAAATCCATAAATACCCGGGTATTTTGGGTATTTATAAAATCAATTGAAATTCATTTCTATTTACCCCTAAATATGTTATTGTTATTACATGATAAATTAGGATAGTCAATTACAGTAACTTGAAGCTTTGCTCGCTTAATGATTTAGCACTTTTTTTTTAATAATACATAAAGTTTCTAAATAAGCATGGGGTTTTGTGTCTTAAATCGAGTAACATCAGTTAAATTTAACTCACTAAAAAATATTATATATTAAAAAAGGCTGTGGCTATTTCAATTTTTATAATTTCATTAATTTATAACCAATTAAATAACATAAACAAAATTATTTTAATTTATAAATATCCAGGAATTGTTGGGTACTTATGATGCAAAATTTTTATTGTATAAATGGTTTGGAAGGCTAGATAGACCTAAGGCCTATTTGACATCTAGGCAGAATGATAGAATACTTTTAAGTAGGCTTAGTTAAACTTTTCTGTGTTACCGCTTGGTTGGAAACAATACAGTCCACTCTTGGTAATTCAAACACTTGATAATTCAAAACTTTCGATAATTCAAAATGAAGGCTCAGTCCCTAGAGAATCTCTCAATATTTCAAATTTTTACCATGCATTTTGATACACTCGGTATTTCAAAGTCCAAATAGAGGGCAGGTCAATTTGTAACACGCAGTAATTCGAAGTTTCGTCGGTTAACACTCTATAATTCGAAGTCATGCTGTAATTTGAAGTTTCGTCGAAAAAACACTCTATAAATCAAAGTCACACAGTAATTCGAAGTTTAGTCGGCAAAACACTATATTTCGAAGTGATCTCTTCCTGTTATAACAGGAAACTATACAGTACAGTACATCCTGTTCCCATGGTAGGCTAGTGTTGGACGTTTTGATGTTTGTTTAGTTAGAGCAGTAGTCAGAGTTAGTTCGCTGACTTGTTTTTCTAAGTTGGCAATCCGATCTCTAGATTGCGCGACATCTCCTTGAGCACGAACGTAGTTGTCGACAGCTTATTTTGATACCATTGATACCAACAAAAGATTTAGAACAAAAATATTAAATCCTGCCATCCTACAGATTGAATTTTAAAATTATTTTTCTTAAGTTGTTTACACATAGGCTAGGTTAAGTTGTTAGACTAGGTTAAATTTTCCTGTCATTCTAAATAATAATTATTAGGTACTTAGCAAATTATTTTTTTTTAACTTTCAATCAAATAAATTCATCTATCCATCATAGAAATTAAAAAATCATAAGTAGTCAGGACCAGTGCAGCAACCATGCGACCAGGGTATTTATGCCGATTATAACCAGAAGTAAAATGCCAGTAGTGACCATATGAAATTTTGTTTAACACATTTTATCATCATTTTACTATCCTTGCAAGGTAATAATTGCAAAAAAACATCTAAATCTTCTCTAACTTAAATAAAAATTATAAATACCCAGTTTTTGGGTATTTACCCGGGCCTGGGGTAAATACCCGGGTAAAAACCCAATTTATATTTACCTACCCACTGGGTATTTACCCGGCCCACATCACTAGTTGGGGGTTTTGTTTGCTCAAGATATAGCCTAGTCGAAATTGCAAATCATCTTCCTCTAGGACTTTCCGAAGCAGGCATAATAGTATTGATATGTTATAGTAACTGGGTAGAGAATATTAATAAACATTCCACATATGCAAATGAAATATGTATATATATGAAAGATTGGTTCAGCTAAAAGTGGTGCAAGTCATGTAGGTGGTTTTGTTTGATCAAGATATAGCCTAGTCGAAATTGCAAATCTTCCTCTATTACTTTCCGAAGCAGGCTATTGATATGATATAGTAACTGGGTAGAGAATATCAATAAACATTCCACATCTGCAAATGCATGTTTAGTAATTAAAATATTTAACACTTTTAAGACGATTGACGATTATGCACTGTCACACTTCTTAGGTCGTGTAAGGAATAATTGCATTTAATTTATATTTAGACCTGTTTTACGAATGCTTTGGTTTTTACAATACCGTACATCTTTATTTGTCAATATCATACAGCTATTCACTGAAACATATAGCTTATGTTTTGTAAGTCAGAATATTCAATACTAATAAAAACAGAATTACTGTATACACAAATCAAGTCAAACATTAAAATACATTTTTTATAGTAACCAAAACAAAATGCATTTTTCTCAATGTAATTCATTTAGGCTCCATGGCAAGAAATAGTTTATTGATCAATATGAAGCAACTGTTTCATGAAGAATTGTCTGTAGCTTCATTTAAATGGTTTCA